TGGGATTGGGGATTGAAAATAAACCTTTGCTCCTGGGGGAGCAAAGACAGAAAGGAGAAATTTGGGGATTGATTGATCCCAAAGGGACCATCCCAACCAAGGACCAAAGTCCAGCCCTCCCACAATTCACTGTTTGCACTTTTGCTGCTGCATGAGGCCCTAAAAAACCTGAAAACCTGAAACACCCAAAACAAACTGGGATTTCTGGGGAGTGATAGGAATTCTGGAAAACCTGGGCAACTCCAAAACTTCTCCAGATCAAACCTTTAGAGCTCACCTCGATCACACCCCAAATTGCTGAYTCTCTCTCAGCCCCAAACAAATCCCAGCTGCTCCTGAGATGTTTCCAGGCCTGAAGCTGCTTCCAGGGAAATATTTTTGCAGTCCTGGCATTCAGGGAGCTCTGATTCATGGATCTGCACCCTAAAAACAAACCTGCACCCTGCAGTTTGCAGGRTCCTCTGCTCCTCAATCCACACTTTGTTTCAAATACCTCCAGTAAAATATTACTGGTTGATAAAATACTCCAGTAAAATATTCCTGCAAATTCAGAGTCTTCAGAAGCAATTCCAAGAATGGACAATTAGCTCTTAAATGATGTTAAAACCAGCAAAAATCCTGGTTTTTGTTTTTAAATAAATTAACCACAATGTTAATTTATTTATCACTGAGTGAAATAAAAGGGAGGAGAGTGGTTTTCCATCATTTAATGAGTTATAATAAACACTGCACTGGGCACAGGGAAGGGACTCAGCAGCCACTGCTCAGTGATAAGGGCTGAGGAATTACTATTCCTTTGAAAAGTCTGGATTAGCATAGTGGGATAGTTTATTATAATCTGTAAAAATCCTYCTGATAAAAATGTAATTAGGTTGGCCAAGAGGTTTGTAACTCACAGAAAAGCAAATATATAGTTATCTATAAATTTCAAAAATAGAATTCTGGCTATTTTAGATTTTATACACCAATGCCTTGATTACATTTCTTAGGTTGGTTTGTTTTCCTAAAGGTTTTATGCAAGAGCAACAATATTTTTGCTAAATCTAGAACAGGCCCCCTACAATTCATTCCACACCACGTTCCCTGCTTTACAACTTCATTTAAAATCATCTCCACTCTCAATTTTGCATGATTTGACCCCAAAACCACTTGTAAGCAAAGAAACAATCCCACAGCAGGAACACAGCTCTGGAATTTGGGGGATCCGGAGCCAGGAGGTTTTGCCAAATGGCAAATTGCAAAGTGGGTGGACAAATCCTACTCTGCAGAACCTGCTACACCCTGCTGATAAAATTCAATGGCAAAAGAAACATTTTAATGATCCCCACCTACAAAAACACAGSGAATTCAAACATCCCAGCTGGTGTAAAACTGCATCTGAGGAGCTTCCACATCAACCAGCCAATGTTCAACCCCCACCACGCCTTGCTCAAGGATGGATCTTGGCTCATTAACTGAGTGCAATTAATCCACAGCTCYGTTTAATTCTCCCACTCCCATGAAAGACAAAAATATAAACATTTTAATCYCTATGCTTGTCATTATCAATTAGCCACAAATGCATATAGTGCAGAACCAGATGTGTGTGGTCTGTATCTCAATTTTAGCACAAAAAGGGCTCAAGGAAAATACCTGAGCTCCATTTATTTACATCTGGGTTTAATCCATTTGCCTCTGAACATCTCCAACCTGGCYTTGGGCACTGCCAGGGATTCAGGAACAGCCACAGCTGCTCTGGGCACCCTGTGCCAGGGCCTGCCCACCCTCACAGGGAATAATTCCTATCAAATATCCCATCTAAATGCACCCTCTGGCAGTGTGACCCCATTCCCTGTGTCCTGTCCCTCCACCCCTCGTCCCCAGTCCCTCTCCAGCTCTCCTGGAGCCCCTTCAGGCCCTAAGATCACCCTGAAGCTGCTCCAGGTGAACATTCCCAGCTCTCCCTCCCTGCTCCATCCCTCTGCTCCTCCTGGAGCCTCCTCTGGATCTCTCCCCAGCTCCAGGTTGTTCCTTTGCTGGCCCTGAGCACAGGGGAGAGGGGCAGAATGGTGCCCAGCCCTGACCCAGCTCCTGGGATTCCCACAGGCCCCATGCTCAGGCTCAGCCAGCATCCAGGGCTATTTTGTGGATTTATTCCCATTCTTTTCCAARAGCTGCTCTCCTGGCACTGCAGCACCATCATCCCTGACTGCCTTCAATGACAACTTTGTGTCAGAGCAGCAAACCCAGCCTTGGTTTGGGGACAGGAGGAGGTTGGAGAACCCCATTCCCAGGGAGAAGCTGAAAATCCCCATCCCAATAATCAACAAATCCCTGGGATTTATCCCTGGGATCAATAAACCCCAAACCAACTCCTCATGAAAGCTCTGCCYTCTGTGATGGACAGGGAAGGACACAAAGCTGCAGCCATGGCACAGCCCTTGCAGGCTCTGATGGGAACAATCACCAAGTGCTGAAGGGTTTTATGGATGAGAGATGGGGAATTCAGGGAAWCATTTCATCCCTGTGCAAGCAGAGTGTCCCCAGTGCCAAATTAAACACACCCAGCCCCAGTTTGTCTGCAGCCCCACAGGCTGCTCCAGAACAAAAAGCTCTCAGTGCTCTGCTGGCATCACACATTTGAYAATGGGTGCAGCTTCAGACCAACAGCAACAAATATTTGGGGCAGAGAACCTCAAGATTTTTGTCTGAGTGATGCTCAGGCTGGCTGAGAAACTGCCACCAAAACTTTGTAACCCAAGGAGGAAACACCATTAACACACAGGACAGGTTTCTGATGGCTGCAGAGATTTCAAAACAAAACAAAACAAGCAGCTCAGGTCTGACAAATCCCTTAAGAAACTCAAAATAGTACAATTTACAGAGGAAAGCATTCACTGAGCATGAATTAATAGGGTCCCAAAGGGGCCATGGGGTCCTGAAAAGGTTTCTGAAGCCTTTTGTGCACAAAGCACAGTGAAAAGTTCAGCTCGTGCACAAGAASTTGAAGATCTCTAAAATAATGACCAGAAAAATCAGCCCAGATTTCAAGAAGATTCTTTAAGACACAATTATTGATAGAAGAGCATTTAAAAAAAACCCTAGTGTCAAACTCTGGTCACTTCCTCTATGATCCAAGGAYTTACTCCATCTTATTTCTGTTATTACAAAACTCAGCCATAATTAATCTTTGCAATGTATGAAGCCTCCAAAAACAAAGGTTAAAGGCAGACATAAAACCTACCTTAAAGAAAAATTAAATGCCTGCAACACCTTTGTAACAGAGAATAAAAAATAGTTATTTAGAGAAGTATGAAGTGTTTTCTAGCTATCAAAATATGAAAGAGGAGGAAGAAGTGTTAGAGAAAAGAGCCTTTTGTTAAGCAGCTTTCTCTGGCTGGGATCACCTCGATGATAAGATGACAGACACATCAAGATTTAGGTATTTAAAACCACATTAGGCAAGTGAGACACAAAGGGGCTGCAGGTCAAGCCTGCTCTTTCAGCAAARTGCATTAGATTATTCAACAAGATTTTCCATCTCCAACTTCGAACTCCAAAATAAGCAGAGATATTTTTCTAACAGGATTCTTTAGCAAACAAGCTCATAAAACACACTCCAYTGTGTTTCTGGGGAAGAGAAGTAAAATGAGAAGCAATTAGAATGATGATGAACTCATTAAGTCAAAACAGCCATAAATAAAGGCAGAGCCAATCTCAAAGACCTGTCTGAAAGAGCTGCTGAGGCTTTTCCAGGGGATGGATAAAGGAGTCTGGTTTAAGTCAGGATGAAATGTGGGAATAGCTGCAAACCATCCCTGGACCTGCGTCTGCTTCAAAGAAACATCAGGAAACTGCTACAAGAATTACCTTCAGGACAAATGAGCTGCACCTCCACACACAGCCCCGGGCCAGTGTGCAGAGAGCAGGAAGAGCCCCAGGGTTGGAGTTCTGGGGTGCAGTGTTCAGGGTGTGGAGTACAGGATACAGGGTGCAATGTTCAGGGTGCAGGGTTTAGGGTGCGGGATGTGAGGTGCTGGGTACAGGGTGCAATGTTCAGGGTGCAAGGTGCAATGTTCAGGGTGCTGGGTGCAGGGTACAGGGTGCAACGTTCAGGGTGCAGGGTGTGGGGTGCAGGGTGCAAGGTTTAGGGTGCGGGGTGCAGTGTTCAGGGTGTGGGGTGCGGGGTGCTGGGCACAGGGTGCAATGTTCAGGGTGCAGGGTGCGGGGTGCAATGTTCAGGGTGCAATGTTCAGGGTGCTGGGCACAGGGTGCAATGTTCAGGGTGCAGGGTGCGGGGTGCTGGGTGCAGGGTACAGTGTGTGGGGTGCAGGATGCAGGGTACAGGGTGCAGGATACAGTGTGCAATGTTCAGGGTGCAGGGTGCTGGGTGCAGGGTACAGGGTGCAGTGTTCAGGGTGTGGGGTGCAGGGTGCTGGGTGCTGGGCGCAGGGTGCTGGGTACGGGATGCAGGATGCAGGGTGCGTGGTGCAGGGTGCTGGGTACAGGGTGCAATGTTCAGGTTTCAGTGTGCAGGGTGCTGGGTGCAGGGTGCAGGGTGTGGGGTACAGGGTGCTGACTGCAGGGTGCAGGGTACAGGGTACAGGGTGCAATGTTCAGGGTGCAGGGTGTAAAGTGCAGGGTACAGTGTGCAGTGTTCAGGGTGCTGGGTGCAGTGTTCAGGGTGCAGTGTTCAGGGTGCTGGGTGCTGGGTGCAGGGTACAGGGTGCAGTGTGTGGGGTGCTGGGTGCAGGGTACAGGGTGCAGTGTTCAGGGTGCTGGGTGCTGGGTGCAAGGTAGAGGGTGCTGGGTGTGAGTTGCAGTGTGCAGGATGCTGGGTGCTGGGTACAGAGTGCTGGGTGCAGGGTGCAATGTTCAGGGTGCTGAGTGCAGGGTGCAGTGTGTAGGGTGCAGGATGCTGGGTGCCGGATACTGGGTACAGAATGCTGGGTGCAGGGTGCAATGTTCAGGGTGCTGGGTGCAGTGTTCAGGGTGCAGGATGCATGGTGCTGGGCCCTTACCATCGCACTTTATTGCAGGTCTGCGTGGCGCCCAGCGGCGAGCCGGCCACCATGGGCACCTGGATGGGGCTGTGCTGTTTGTTCATCACCAGGTCCAGCTTCTCCTCCAGGGATTTGCAGGTGGCCTCCAGYGCCAGCAGCTTGGCCTCGATGCTGTCCAGCCTCAGGCATATGGTCTGGTTGATGGAGTACAGGAACGACTGGCGAGGGACAGGAAATGCTGTTAAAGCTCCTGCTCTCACCCCGCTCATCCCAAGGAAACCCTGGCTAAGCGTGCCTGGGAAGCGATCCTAAAGGAACTCGCAGCCTGTCTGGTGACAAAATTCACCCCTGATGACATCCAGGAGCGTTTCAGCAGGCTCACATCCTTCCAGATCTTTATTTAGGAGCCAAAGGCAGCTGAGCCAAAGCCATTTTCACCTAAGCACTTTGTCAGGATGATTTCATCCACCGCAAAATCATCTCTAATGACTTGCCAAAGCCTTCCCTTCCACATGTGAAAACAAAAGGATTATAAATCTCTGAATGCATCCTCCTGGATAAAGTTAAGTCAGTTTTTTCTCCTGCCCAAACAGATAAATTCAGATGATTGCAGTGGAAATTATATCAACACAGAAAAACCTCGGAGACAATTAATGCCACTCACTTCAGTTTCCTGCCGAACAGCAAATCAAGAAAAGCAAATAAATAAAATCTGTTTTGCTAAGCAATCTTYTTTTCAAAAGAAAACATATTCCACTGGGGTTCTCCTGGGAAAAYAGGCCATTAAAGGGAAGAGCTCACRCTGTGTGCTTTGCAAACAGCAGCTGTGCCATCTTGTGGCCCTGCAGTCACCAAACACCCCAAATCCCTCCTTGCACAGAGCTCCAGCTCCTGGCAACACTCCAAAAACACAGAATTACACATGGCAGTGGCTGTGGCAGTAAAATGTTCTGTATGTACTCACACTCCAGGGCAAAAACCAACCCTAAATCACACCAGTGAGAACAGCAGGGTAAGTCTGGAGCTCCTGAGCCTCAATTAAATCTGAATTCTCTATCAGGAGAACATTGTCAGCTTCAAATAATAATTTAAAACATATTGAAAGTATCTACATATCGTAACACAAATACATCCTCAAGTTTATCTTTTCACTCAACTTCTTTGGCTTATCAAAAAATGTAAATGCTGATGTTTTGAGCCAGCAAAATTAATTTTGATTATATTTTACATTGCATGTAAAGGTGTAATTCTAAACAGGAAAATTAGAAAATCATCCAGGTTTTAAAATTTATGCCTAGAAATGAACAAGCATTTACAAGAATAATTCCTGTATTAGGTATAAACAGTTCATTCTTGTAATAACTTCCCCTAAGAAATGAAACTTAATTGGCATTACAAATAAAGGCAGGAAAGGGAATTCAAGAACCTTAATGGAGGGATCCTGGCAGTTGATTTCTATCCTCTGACGTTTCAGGGCAGGTTCYACATCATCATCTGCCACTTCATGGTTCTCCAACACAACTGCAAAGGAAAAAAAAGCTTTGCCAGAGTTTGGAACCCAACAGGACAAAGCTCAAATTCAAGATATATTAATWGGAACAAACAACAGCATGGAAAATKTATTTCATTAAYATATTTAATGTGTTCTTTGACACTTCCTTGGGTTTCTCTCGAATATCTGACAGTGGTGATGGGATCAGGTTTGGGTTCCTCTATCAAGCTGAGCAAAGACTTGAAGGACATGCAGGTCCCAGCTTCTCCTCCAACTCTTTGGGAATAATTCTGAAGGAACCTTTTCATTTCGTATCAGAAAAGCACTTTTTTGGTCCGTGTTTCTCATTTCCATCGCTGCTCTTTCACTCATTAATTTGCAATGGCTACAGAAGATCAGCATCTCTATATATTTTCACTTCAAAGTTCTGAGCAAGGGATATCACAACATTTGCTTTCAGAAGTGTTCTCAAAGAATTTTAATAATGTACAAGAGAAACTATTTTACACATAGAACAACAATTCCTGATRGATGGGTGACAGATCCCATTTGAGGGAAAGCCTAACCGTGTAGCTGGACTGGAGAAAAGCAAAATTGCAGGAATATTTCAGTCAGTTTTTGGGGTTGTCTACCCCAAGATTTAAAGGCAATAAAGCCTTTAAAAGAGAAGTGAAATAAAATCTGATGTGAAAGGTTTGGAGATACACAAGAGAAGCTATGGAAAACATGGGATACAGGCTTGAAAGGCACTTTCTGGAATAAAAAACTGGGTTTGTGTTTTTAAAGGAAAGTTCAGGCTGTGCTTCTGTAAATGCTCTTCCCACCTGGGTTATCTGGAGTCAGGTCCTCGACAGCAATCTGCACCACATCTGCCAAATCCTGCTCGGACATCATTCAGCAGCAGCAGCAGAACTCCTCACGCACTGCAGCAGCTCCTCCAGGCAGCTCCCGGCCAAGGCATGCACCCCTGGAACACAGCAAAGGGTGGAAATGAGGGGAAATATCAATATTGACATCTGGAAAATACCCATACAGAAACATTTGGGAAATATTGATACGTGGACAGCTGGGAAATATGGATACAGAAACATCTGGGAAATATTGATACAGCAGAATCTGGGAAATATTGATACACCAGTGTTTGGGAAATACTGATACTGCAGCATCTATGAAATATCAATACTGAAACATTTGGGAAATATCGATACAGAAACTTTTGGGAAACATCAATACAGAAACATTTGGGAGGTATCGATACACGGACATCTATGAAATATCAATATAGAAACATTTGGGAGATATTGATACAGAAACATTTGGGAATTATCAATACATAGACATCTGGGAAATATCGATACAGAAATGTTTGGGAAATATTGATATAGAAACATTTGGGAAATATTGATACTGCAGCATTTGGGAAATATCAATACAGAAATGTTTGAGAAATATCGATATAGAAACGTTTGGGAAATATTGATACAGAAATGTTTAGGAAATAGTGATACAGAAACATTTGGGAAATATCGATACAGAAATGTTTGGGAAATATCAATACTGCAAAATCTGGGAAATTTTGATAGAGCTACATCTATGAGATATGGATACAGCAGCATTTGGGAAATATTGATACTGCAACATCTATGAAATATCAATACAGCAAAATCTGGGAAATATCGACACAGCAACATTTGGGAAATATCAATACAGCCACAGGGCCTTCAAACTTCCATTCTCCTTCTACAAAGATTCAGATCCAAGAGAAATGACCAACCTACAGAGGGATTATCCAGTGGCACCCTTATTAGTGTTTTAATAAACACACTTATTAGTGTTTTAAGAGAAACCTTCAGCTTGTAAAATTGAAATAAATTCACTGTTGTCTCTCTTATCCATGCTTTCTTACAAAAGGCTGCACAAGGAATACCAAGAGATCAGTGGATTTTTTTTCCTTTTTAACCTGGAGTAAAAAACACTGGAGAGATAAATTGAGATTTAACGATGGAAATGATAATTCATCCATTACCACTGACACAGAACCAAATCCAACTGTGCATAATGATTTTCCTCTTCCACTTGAGCCCAAGAAATCCATTAAGCCAGACACAGAAAGGACAAATTTTTAGGAGAGCAACACAACCTAGAGAAGAATTCTGAGCAAGCCCATCCAGGAGACCTCCCCACATCTCCAAACTGTTTATTCAAAATACCAGCACTGCCAGCACTGAGTCACTTGAAATTCTGCTCATGGTGAAAGGGKTTTGGGCCAGCACAGGCTGTGGCAGCCAGCCCAAAAACCCTGGCAGTGTTTCTGTGAGTGTGGCTGCAATTTTGGCAAAGGGAATTTGCCATTTCTGAGAAATGCTGGTGCCTGGCCAGGATGAGCAGAGCAGAGCTGTTCCAYCCCTGGAGCTGCAGGGGACACAGCCGCCACCCCGAGCACCAAAAAAAGGCCAAATTAGAGCAAAACCCAACTGTTAAAAACCTCATTATTTATAGAATTCACTCTGTGATTTCCAGGACTCACCGACGCTGCATTCAAACCCATCACAGCTACAAATTTATCAGGATTTTTCAAGCAGCCTGAAGGAATTGCAATGATTTTGTATAAATCYACTTTAATGCTCTGCGTATTTAGCACAGAAAATCCTGAGTTTGAAGGATTTTCCAAAAAGCAGAGATATTTTTCTAGCAGGATTCTTTAGCAAACAAGCTCATAAAACACAGTCCATCATATTTTTGGGGAAGAGAAATAAAATGAGAAGTAATTAGAATGATGATCAGACCCACATGGCGCATCCAATTGTGGGTCCTGCACAGGCAACCCGACAATCCCAGCATGTGCCTTCAAAATTAAATTAAATAAAAAGCAAATCACTAAATTCAACCTTTCTCCAACACAAACACAAAGTAATTTTGCATTTCCAACCTCTCTTCTCCACCTCTCACAGGTTATAGTCTGAAAGTGTTTGATCTCAGATCAGGAATACCCAAATATTCCATCCCAGAGCCTCGAAACGAGGGCTCAACACCAAATTACAACAGGCAGAGCAGCTCCAACCCACACACAGCAATGTGTCTTCATGCCATCAGTGTTTATTTCCATTTACACGAATTTTATTCCAATTTCACTAAGTCAGATGCAGCTTGGAAGAAATCAGCCCCAATTCTGCCTTCTCAAAGCCAGAACAAAATTCTCTTCTGCTACCACCAGCTGCAGCAGATCCTGTATCCAAACACAAGGGGAAAACAAATAAATTTTGTTATCAGCCCTGGGTGTGGGGATTAGGAGAGCAATCCCAAGGAAGCTGCAGCCCCTGCAGTTATCACCCCCTGAATGAAATGTCCCTCTTCCAAATTCACCATTTCCATTTCTAACTGTAAATGTCACCAATGGGCCGACCTTGCTTGCAGATCCAAGGGGAAAAGCTTGATAAAATTTAAAAGGATGAGAGTTAAGAGGAGTTTATCAGCTTCAAAAAGCTCCAGTCAACAAATTYAGAATAACTTTGCCATTATAGTTTCCACGTACTTTACTTGGTGAAGTGTTCACCAGCATTTTCTCACATAAAACACCCTTTTTCTTTTTTGCTCTATATTCCCTCTTTTTTTCCCCTAATTTCCATCTTCTGGCTGAAACTCTAGTCCCCATTAAATCTAAATTAAGAGTATGTATGTTGGCATTGAGCCAGAGGTGCTGAACCATTCCCAGGAACAAATATTAAGTTATAAAGAAGAAATATGAACAGAAAGG